ACCCAGACAACGAGATCGTGGGCGGAGAGGTTTTTGAGAACCTGGTGGCTGAGAGCAAGTAGGGGCCCGGCCGACCTGGGGGCAGGGGTGCAGGGGCAGGACCCTGGGAAAGGCGGGGAGAGCCACGCGCGGCGGGGTCCAGGCCAAGTGAGGGCCCCGCGGGTTCCCGGGTTCCCGGGTTCCCGGGTTCCCGTGTCCGACGGCCGCAGCTCCACCGACAGGAAGGACTCGGAGCAGCACGGTGTGCGCACCGCGGAGAAGCTGCTGCGTGAGTTTTACCCGCACTCGGCCTGGGGCCATACCCAGCTGCGGCTCCTGCAGAGCCTCTGCCTGCTGGCCACCCGGGAGAAGGCCAACGTGGAGGCGGCGCTGGGCACCTTCATCGAGATGGCGCAGGCAGAGGTGGGCCGGCGCGCGGGGCAGGCGGCGGCGGGGGGCGAGGCTGGGGGCCCAGCGCACCCACGCCCGCTCCCACCCCTCATCCCCACCCCGTGCGCAGAAGGACAGCGTCCCCGCCCTGCTGGCCACGGCGCAGGCCTACGCGCTGCTGAAGCAGGTCCCCAAGGCGCGCACGCAGCTGAAGCGTCTGGCCAAGGCCCCGTGGGCGCTGGGCGAGGCAGAGGACCTGGAGAAGAGCTGGCTCCTACTGGCTGACCTTTACTGCCAGGGCGGCAAGTTCGACCTGGCCACCGAGCTGCTGCGGCGCTGCGTGCAATACAACAAGGCAGGGGGCGCGCTGCCGTCGGGGAAGCGGGGACGCCAGGTGGAGGCGGGGCGCGAGGGGCGCGTGGGCGTCGGGGGCAGAGGAGGTGCGGGTTGGAACCCGGTGAGAAGAGGCCGGAGAAAAGGGGGGCATATGCACGCTAGAGCAAGATGGGAACGGGACCCGGGGGCAGGTGGGGGGAGGGGGACGGGGCAAGGCAAGAGGAGGCGCACCGGGTCGGGCAGCCAAGAGAGATGGGAAGGGTTCAGGGGGTCGAGGGGCGTGGGGGTCAGAGCAGGAGGGCTGTGGGGAAAGGGGTCACGCAAGCGTCGGGGTAGCCTAGAGGGGGCGCACAGTTGACCCCTCGCAAAGGTGGGAGATGCTGCTGGAGTCCCTGGGAGGTTCGAGTTAATGCGGCTCACCACCCTCCTTTGCTTCCCCCTCCCCCCGCGGGTTGTGCCCTGTGCTGCCACTGGGTGTGGCTTTCCCTACAGTCCTGCTGCAAGGCCTATGAGTACATGGGCTTCATCATGGAGAAGGAGCAGTCCTACAAAGACGCAGCCACCAACTACGAGCTGGCCTGGAAATACAGTCATCATGCCAACCCTGCCATTGGTAAGGCAAGCAGCCACCGTGCATGTGGGCAAGGAGGGAGATGGGCAGGAGGACCGCTACCCTGGTTCTTGGGTAGTTAGGGTGCCACTGTCTGTGTTCCCTGTGCCCCTGGACAGGCTTCAAACTCGCTTTCAACTACTTGAAGGACAAGAGATTTGTGGAGGCCATTGAAGTCTGCCACCATGTAAGCCATTATAAGCCCCTGGGAGACACTGGGGGTGGGGGTAGGGGACTGGGTGCAGTGACCTGGTCCTGCGGCAGAGACAGACACCCCTGGCCTGACGCTGCACCCCCTTTCTCCCTCTGTCCCAGGTCCTCAGAGAGCATCCTAACTACCCCCAAATCAGAGAAGAAATTTTGGAAAAGGCCCAAGGGTCTCTGAGGCCCTAGGTGTAGTCAGTGGGAGCCAGGGCGGGTGGAAGCCATCAAGCTACAGATGTTTCACAGAGGGGTTGGGAAGTGGGTCAGGGGAGAAGACATTCAGAAAATGACATATTCTTACCCATTTCTATATTGTGTGTGGTTTGTTTGAATCATGCCTCATCGGGTCTAAGGGGCATCCCAAAACTTTGTGTTTTTAAGGCACAAGAGGCAATTTTGCTCTGAGGAAGAGAGGGATCCGCCAGCCTAACTTATGCTGGGCTCATTGGGCACCTTCTTCCATTTTTATTCCAGACTCTGTGAGGGAGCAGAGGGGAACAAAGAGGTGGTTTAAAAAAAAAAAGTTCCCTACCGCTATTGTCATATTATTATGTCAGTTTATAAATGCCTCCCCTCTCCTCTCTGGTCTCCAGACCCCCAGAGCTCAAGAAGCAACTACTCCTCCCTGCCCTACCGGCCACACCATCCTGCCCGGCTGGGACACAGACAGGAGGACCAGCTCAGGGGGTCCCAGAGCTGAGGCTCTGTGTGAGGGAGGCCATCATCCTGCAGCTTGTGAGCGCCCTTGGCTCACTCTGTCCGTACATTCTGTCTCCCCAAGTCCTCCGCTGGTCTCTGCTGGTCCTCACTGATTTGGGACAAACCTGATTACCCGTGCCTGGTACAGGGAAATACAGCCCAAGAAAATACAGTTCCCACTTCACATTTTCTAAAAGACACTGACCAACAAATTTATCCTCCAGAAGCCCTTTTCACACCGCGGGGGACACAAGCAGTGGGCCCTATTTAGATGAATTATGTTACTTGTAATGGGCAAGAGGGTGACAGAGGTCACTTTTGCTCCAGCTCCCAACACCTCTCTTCTTCTTTCTCATGATGGCAGTAATGGGCCAGTCTGGCTTAGAGGGAGGAACTCTGAACTGGGAGTCAGGAGTGTGACCTTCCCAAGACCATCCGCTCTTTGGACCTCAGTGTCCCCCTCTGTGGCAGGAAATTAGACTAGATGTGCGTGTTCCCAAACCATGATACAAATCCCTGCCAGTGATATACAGCAAACATTTTCCAGTTTAATAACTATGTGTTTAAATATCATTGTTACGTAACAGAGAAAAATAACTAGCATGATGAACTCATGAATTCATGAGTGCTGTTAACTCAGAATGGTTCTAACTTCTCTTTTTTTTTTTAAAGATTTATTTATTTATTTATTTATTTGAGAGAGAGAGAATGAGATAGAGAGCATGAGAGGGGAGAGGGTCAGAGGGAGAAGCAGACTCCCCGCTGAGCAGGGAGCCCGATGTGGGACTCGATCCCGGGACTCCAGGATCATGACCTGAGCCGAAGGCAGTCGCTTAACCAACTGAGCCACCCAGGCGCCCAGAATGGTTCTAACTTCTAAGCATATCGATGTAATTGATGTAAAGCAAAATACTTAGTATGCGTAGAATGCAGCTATGGCAAAATTTTCAAGAGAAGTTGTCCAGTGACGAAAGTTTGGGAACCGAACAGGTAGGGGTTGCTTTTAGAACACACAAAATTGTCCTTAATGGTGGCTGAGCCTTGTTTTTATAACATCCTGCTGATCACATGCATGGCCTCTTGATCTGAGTCAGTGACCTGGAATGCTTTCCCCAGGTTACTACCCTTCCTATGGGAAACCAGTCCCCTTTCCTAGCATCTGCTTTACAATCTGGTTTCTTGGGGCAGGTCATTGAGAGACAGTTTGTCTGTATGGAGAATGATGCTGTAAAGGATTGTACATTAATCACATTTTTATTGCTGTTAAAACCTAAATTGTCTATATTTATCTTAAAAAAAAAAAAAAAAAAAGCCCAGGAAGTGATCCTGTTGCCCTAGACGGGGAGTGGGCAGGTTCAGTCCAGCCATGGGCTGTGTCCATGGTTTAGGAGCCTGTGGGGGCTTCCAGCCAGGGAACTGGAGCGGCCAGGAGCTGCCATCCAGATCCCCAGGCTAATCAGAGCAGGGCCTCAGAGCCCTTGGAGAGGCCCAGATTTTGAATCACACATGCTGAAGCAATCTCTGCAAGAGGGTTCCCGGGAACCCTCAGGGGGAAGACAGAACAACGAAATGTACCAGGATACTCCACCCTGACAAGCCTAAGGCCTGGCTGTCCCTGGCTAAGTTGGTTACAGGGACAGGCTGCCCACCATAGGCCAGGCTCCAAGCTATGGATCCTCTCCCGGCCATTGACGATGTGGCCACGTGGCCATGTCCAGAGATAAGAGACAGATACCCAAAGAGTGACGGAACTTGCAAACAAGAGAGGATAGAACATAGAAATAGAGGCAGAAATATAAAAACAAAATGGAAGTCACAAACGAGGCTTGCATGTCCCGGGCACTCTCCTAAGTGCTGTATATATGCGAACTGAATGAGCTTATGAGGCGAGCGGTGTGATTAGTTGCACAGTATTGAGGACACCAAGACCCCGTGGTAGTAGAGGGGACATGATCTACCTAAGCCACCTTGCCAGGTAGTAGAAGAGCTGGGATTTGAACCTGGCACTCTGGGTCCGTGCTCTCACCCAATAAGCCACAGAGATGAAATAAGGAGAGCCCAGCACAGATGAAAAGGCAGAGAATTAGAGCCAGATCTGGTCTCCTTGTTTGGTCCTCCCTTCCAGCCCTCCGTATAAATCATTCCTAAGGGGGAGCTCAACCCTGCTCCTCAGGCCCTAGTCTGGGAGTCCCCAGGGCAGGGTGCGGCCTGCTCCTCGGCCTGCTCCTCATCCCGCAGCCGGGCTGCTGGGGACCGGTCAGACGGGTCTGGCTGGTGCGGATGGTTGAAGTCCTGCAGCTTCCGGTGCTCAAGTCCCCAGGGGCCTCAGCAGCTCAGCCCCACACAAGGCCTCTGCTGGCCACATCCCACTGCCTGCCCCTAACTGGGGGGGGGGGGGGGGGGAGAGGAGGGGACTTCGCCCTCAGGGCCAGGCCCCACCTAGCTCAGTGTACCAGTGGGAAACAGCCCGAGCGAGCGGATAGCCAGGTCTCAGAAGACTGCCCTGCTGCTGCGCACCACCACCCCAGGAGACCACTGGAGAGAGATGGGTTCCTGAAAAGGGAAAACTGCTCTACCTGCCTGGCAACCTCCCAGCTGGCTTCCTGTCTCCAAGGTGACAGGCCTGCATGGAAGGAGGCTCCACTGCGTTGTGGCCCCCACTCCTACCCCAACATAGCCTCAGTGTCCACACTGCCCTGGGGGAACCATCTCCCCCTCCCTCCTCACTACGTCCTGAGGGTATACCCCCCATCTCCCAGTCCCACAAATGCAGACCACACTGTTAAAAATAGAGCCTCTTTATTGGTACCTGTAAGCTCAGGTACAAGGTGTTCCCACAAGCACGCAGGCTGGCAAGGCCTCCTGGGCAAGAAGGCAGGCCCAGAGCCTGGGCTTCTTGGCACAGACATAGAGAAAAATGAATAAATTATAGTTCTAACACTCAAGGACGATACAGAAATTAGGATGCAAAACTCAGCATCAGCAAACGTAGGGCATAAAAGCCACAGGGGCCACCCCTCACCCCAGCCAACTGGCCTCAGGGCATGGGCAGGTGGCCCAGACTGGGGCATGCTGTGCCCAGAAAGCCCTGAGACAGTAGTCAGGGGCGTGCTGTGGGCCCCAAGGCTAGCCCCTTGCCCTCTCTGGGTCCTCTCTCCTGCTTCCCTTCGACATCAGTGGGCCCAGAATAAAGGCTGTGGCCTTTGGGGAGGAAGATGGGCCGGCAGAGGGCAGGACGCAGAGGGGGCTGTGTGGGGCAGAGGCAGGCTTTGGTCATGGTCGGTCGGCCCAGCCCCCTACCTAGACGCTGTCCTCAGCCACCCGCCAGGAGCCAGGCAGCTGCCACAAGAGGGCCGAAGGGCCCCAATCCACACCTGGTTTGTACCAAAGCCCAGGTAGGGCAGGGTTGGACTACAAGGCAAAAGGGGCTCACGGGGTCTGTGCCCCGCCCCAATCCCAGCACTGCCCACCAGCCAGCGGGGAGAAGCCTACGCCTCCTAGTCTCCGAATAAATTATGGAAATAAATTATAGTCTTCACAGTCCAGAAAACACAGCCACCCATGGGTCTGGGGCTCAGGGTGGCAGGAGAAGCCATTAGAAGTGGCTGATTTCAGCCCCGTCTTGTTCGGGCTGAGGAACATATGAGACCGAAAAGGGGTCTGCAAAGCTCCAGGGGAGCCCTGTTTCCTCCTGTTCTGGGCACACACCATGGAAGTGGAAGGAGAGACTGTGTGAGCTTTGGGGGGTGGGGGGAGGGGGGCCGGGGGGCCAAAAGGGAAAGCCCCCTCCCCACCCTCTCTTCAGCACAGAAAAGTTACAAAAATAAATAAATCAATCCAGAGTGTTGCACAAAAATCAGGAGCGCCCGCATGGATGAGCCAGCCAACGGGAAACCCTTAACATACAGACCTCAGGGAGCCCCCAAATTACAACAAAGCAGCAACAGGGCTCTCGGGGCCGTGAAAAGGTACCCTAGTCATCACACCGGCACCGGCTCCACCAGGGGCGCTGGGGCAGTGTCCTCAAACAACTGGCTGTCTATGAAGGGGGCCAGGGCCTCAGCAGCGGGGTCCGGCAGGCCCACGACAGGCTCCAGGAAGCAAGCGCCAGCGTCCCCCGGGGGAGAAAAGGCAGGCCAGGGGAAGGAGGGGGCCTCGAGATTGTCCAGGCCGTCCGACGCCGTCCGGGAGGTGTAGTGAGGCCCGAGGCTATAGTCCGGCAGGGCCTGGAGCAGCTCGAAGGAGTCGCAGGAAGACAAGCTGAGGTCCACAGAGTTGCTCTGGCCAGCGTCCGAGCTAGGCGGCACTGAGGTGCCGGGGAGGCTGCCTTCTCCCAGCCCTTCGAGGCCACTGTTGAGGAAGAAGCTGGCATCCAGGTTGGCGTTTTCGTCCAGGATGCCCGACGCGAGGCTAGAGCTGGAATGGCCGTGGGTCCAGCTGGCCAGGCCACCAGGGTCACCAGTCCCAAAGATGTCAGCTGGGTGGAAGCAGCTGAGGTTGTCGAGGTTCCCCACCCCCCCGTCCTCCTCCTCCTCCTCCTCCTCCCCGCCCAGGTCCGAGTCACTGAGACTCAGGACCCGGGCCAGGCTGTCGTCGTCCACGTCGGGCTGGAAGCCAGGGCCAGGCAGGGCTGGGTGGGCGGTGCTGCCCAGGGCCTCGCTCGTGCCCGAAGCTGTGGAGGAGTCAGTCATGTCGCTGCTACAGCTGTTGTCTCCCAGCTCACTGCTCCCGGGGGGCTTGGCCAGTGGGAAAGCGGGGGCCAGGACCTGCTCACCGGGGCTGGCTGGGCCACCCTGGCCCGGGGCCTCCAGCTCCCCCAGGCTCTCAGCCCCCTGCTCCAGCTGCAGGCGGGTGAGCGTGTGGAGGAAATGGGTCTGCACGCGGGCCTGATTAAATTCCACACGGCCCTTGGGGTTCTCGCAGCCCTCCCTGCAGCAGCCGCAGGGGAACGCGGTGTGGTCCATCTACAAAGAGAGCAGAGCATGAGCGAGGATGCCGCGGAGCCCAGAGGAGCCCCCGCGCTCAGGCTCCCCTTCCCAGCCCATACCTGGCACTTGATGCCCGCCAGACTGCAGCTGCAGGTCTCGGGGTCACAGACCCGATCACAGCGACAGCCACAGTCCTCCCGGGACTGGCGCAGAGCCTGCAGCTCCCGCTTCTCCTCACGATCGATCCTCCGCACGCCGGCAGCCCGCAGCAGAGCCCGCCGTCGCCGGGCCGGGTAGGGCTGTAGGAAGGTCATCTCCTCCAACTGGCCGCCGGCCACGGCCACAGCCAAGTCCTCTTCCACGGAGGCGTCATCAATGGTGTCCACTGTGAGTGGTACCCCGGTCTCTGCAAGCTGTACCCACGGGAGGGAGGAGGGATGGGAGAGAGAGTCAGGGGTCTTGGCCCCCGCAGCCATTAGTCCCTGGACAAATGTTCCCCACATGCTTCCTCTGGGCTGGGCACCATGGATACCACACTGAACCGGAAGGCCAAGAACCCTGCCCTCGGGTCATTTGCAAAGAGATTTCCTGTTCCTGTCATTTCCCCAGTTTGTGGACAAGCCCCCCGCCTCCCTCCGCAGCCAGCCTGACACCCCAACCCCCAATGTCACAGCAACTCCCCACCACCCCCGCGGCGAGGTCAGACAGCTTCAGGCACCATGCCCCCAGCCCCTACAGCAGACACAGGCCCTTCCACACCCCACTGTCTGCTGATAATCCGGGCAACAAGGCCCTGATGGAGCAATAGTGGCCCCAGGGGTCTCTTCCCCAAATACATCATGAGCAAACTGGCCCCCACCCTGGAGGCCCCTCCCCTCAAGGCTTGGACTTCTGAAGCCAGCGGAGGGCACGGGCGATGGAGACGAGTCTCCCTACCTTCCACCGTAGCGCCTCCAGCTTCTCCTCCTTCAAGCGTAGGCGCAGCTTCTCACGCCGTGCCCGGGCTTGCTCCTGGGTGAACTCAGCCAGGGAGAAGCGGCGGCAGGCGCTGTGGCGAGGGGCCATACCCAGAGTGCAGCCACCACGGCTGGGCACGCTGGTGAAGCCCTGGCACCGTGGAAAGTAGAAGACGGTGATGCCATCGAAGGCAACGCGGCCTGGCCGCTTCCGGGGAGCCCGCTTCAGGATGGACAGGGCTGGAAGGCATGGAGGGAAGGGGCAGGGCATTAGTTCTCTGTGAGGGACAGGACAGCAGACCTCCAGGAAGATGATGCTGAACGGCTTCTCCTCACACGTCCTGCTCTGACCTCCCACCCGAGAGAAAAAGAAACGCATCTGAGTTTGGGAGCCAGCCTGGCTGGGATTAGAGATGGTAAAACTGAATGCCGCTCCTAGGTCAACATGGGCGCTTACCAGTCCAGATGAAAGCATTTGTGAGATTAAACATCTTTCCCCTCTTTATTAGCCATTTATAGGGTCCTTATGCAGTTTCCTATAGTTTTTTATTGATCTGTAGGAGCTCTTTATATATGATATCAAAGACACTGATCATCTGTCTAACCTATCTGTGCAATTATTTTAGTCTTATTTTTGTTCAAGGCATTTTACAAAATAACTTCTAAGGCCATGTAATTAAAAATATGTTGATCTTTTCCTTGCATTTTGCAACAGGCTTAGAAAGGCTGTTATTTGGAATTGGCTTCCTAAGTTATAGACTGTATATTGATTAGTAAGCTATGTATTTGGTATATTCTATACAAATATTGGTATACTATTGCTTTTAACTGAACCATAAGTAGTTACTTTAAAACAGCTGAATATTGGCAACTGCATGTATTTCAACTTAATGTATTATTTTGCCTGTCCCAATCCAACATACAGAATTCTTATTCTCTCTGCAACCTGAACTGGGTAGCACTTATTGAACAATGTTAACTACTAGTGATGACAGACAGCATCCTCCTCTTGTTCCGTAGTGGGATGGCTTCCAGTATTTCCTCATTCATTGGAATGCCAGCTTTTGGGTCGAGACACAGATTTTTAATCACTTAAGATAGAATTCACTTACTGCTATTTTACCAAGGGTCTTATCTAGAAGGAACATGACATTTTATCAAATGTTTTTCAGCATCCACAGTGGCTCTCCTATTTTCCCTCCTTTGATATCACCACTGGGTAAACTCTTAAGACTGGATTTTATAAATATTAAACCATTCTTATATTGCCAGAATAAACCCACAGTTTAGTCAACATACTGTTAGGTTCTGTGTGCTAAAAATCATTCTCTTTTTCTATGTATAATACACAGATATACATATTGGTACATAAACAAAGACACCATATCCAGGGTATTAAGATAGTCACAGCAGGGATAATTAGGATAAATATGTCTAAAAAGGCTCCTTGGGGTTGGGGGCAGCAATAATGGAAAACACAGCCGAGGAATACTGCTTTAGGGCTGTCTTTGCCATTTTTGAAATCAGAATGACACCAGCTTGAAAAATAACTGGGGACAAAACCTTTCCACTATGTTCAGGCAAAGCCAAATGGCATTTTGACAGGAGAGGGACCGGCCTGACAGGCCCCGCAGTGCAGAGTGTGGGGCGTGGGACTCCAGTGGTTCAGTTGGTAGGACAGGGTGTGCAAGCTGGAGAAACGAAACTGGAACATAAGGGAGGAGTTGGAGCCAGAGGGCCCCAGGGCCACTCAGGAGCTCCGTCCTGACCTGCAGGACTTCTAAGCAGGAAGTCCCGAGGTCGAAGGTGAAGTTAGCTGGGCCCAAGTGCCTCGGGATGGTGGACCTTCCCGAGTGACCACTGTTATTACGGGAAGTGGCCAAGGTGGGGAGCCAAAGCTGTGGGGACACGACCTCCAGAGGCCTAGAATAGCTTTGTCAGGGGCCTCCCAATTTCATCTTCAGGAAGGAAGAAGGGGTGTGGTGGTTCCCAGGGGAGGGGGACTCACGGGTGAAACTCCGGGGGCCAGAGAAGTCCCGGTCAGGCAAGGGCAACTGATCCCAGGGGCCCTCCTCATCGGAGTCCCGGGCTGGGGAGGCTGAAGAGCTTGGAGAGCAGGACCGAGAAGGACGGCCCGAGGAGGACGAGGAGGAGGAGGAGCAGAGCGAGGAGGAGTCCTCATCCAGCTGGTCAAACTTCCTCTTCAGTGGCCCAGTCATGGCGGGGCAGGGGGCACTCTGGGGTCTGATCACACACAGCCTGGAACGGAAAGGAGAAAGCTCTCAGTGGCAGGCCTGAGGGCAGGTGTGGCTGCTCAGCCACGACCAACTCTCCCCTTAGCCCCCAAGATGTCCCAGGCACCCCCACCTTGGCTCTGCGTGCGGCGGCGGGGCGGGGGGGGGGGCACGGCTCCAGGAGGCTTCTTTCCACAAGCAGAGCACTGAGGTCCAAACCCTCATCCTGGCACTTGCAGACTCCCACCACCTCTGCCCGAAAGCCTTCCCAGGACGCCACCAGGAACCTTCCTCACTACCTCCTACAACCCACCTACACACATGCATACACCAGACCAACAGATGGACCAACAGACCTCAGCCGGGCCTTGCTCATTCCCCCGACAGGAATCCTGGGGGCTGACTCACTGGCTGGGTGATTCACACGGCTCGCATCTGTGTGCCTTTGTGTGTGTGAGGCCGTCTGCCACAGGCTGCACAGCCCTGTACAGTGGCTCTGCTTCCTGGTCCTCCTCCCCCTCCACCACCAACCCCCAGCACACCCACAGACACACCACCCTGCGTGCGCATACACACACGCTCTCTCTCTCTCTCCCCTTCTCGCCGTCTCTGGGGCCAGGTGGACCAGGGCACTCTGGGAAACAGGCTGGCTTCCACACTGGCCCCAATTCCCAGACACAGGACTTTCCGGAGCCCCTCCCTCCTCTCCTGTGACAGAGCCACTCAGACTTTCCCGCAGAAACCCCCGCCCCACAGAAGTCCCCTGCCTCCAGGCTCAGCTGTGTTTCATGTGTCTCTAACAATCTCCTTTTTGATCTTAAAAATGCATCTACATCTTGCCTCTACTCCAATATCTAACCCTGTTTGTTTGAATTAACTTCCTATGGAAATTATTTTTTTTCCTCTTACACACACACACACACACACACACACACACACACACACACACACACACACACACCCCTACACCTCTTGGTGAAACTGACCGGTCAAGATGTCCCACTGTCTCCTGTTTGTAGCTTGGTGGCTTGGGGGCGCCTCAGGACACACAGCTTACCGTGTTCTCCCCTTTGAGGGTCTCAGCCCTCAGACGGGGTGCAACTGGAGCCTCCCGCAGCCTGGCTGGCCTCGGCTAAGGGGAGAAGAGTTGGGGGCTCCCACCCCTAAATGCCTCCGCTATCCCTGGGAATTCCCAAAGGACTCAGTCCTAAGGGCTGAGTTACCTTGTCTCTCTGTGTCCTACAGGGCTCAGGCCTGGGCCCCAGAGGGTCACCAGGAAGAAGGGGAAACAGTGCAGAGGCCCTAGTGCTGGGGAGCCCCTCCCCCACTGCCATCACAGGAAATGAGAACAGGAAAAACCAACCAGAAGGCTGGCGATCTCCTCTACTCAGGTATCCTTTCTAAACACCCTTGACCCCCTTTGCCAAGCCTAGCACAAAGTCTCTGGATCCTAGAGGGTGCGGTGGTCAGTGGACTTACTGGATAAAATTCGTCCTGAGCACAACTTCTCCCCACTGGCAAGAGAGAAGCAAGAGAAACTCCCCTCCTTGCTAGCCCTTCACACTGGGCCAGGGGAAGAGAACGCACAGGTGCTTCCGGGGACTTCTCAGCGGTAGTTTCTCAGGCTTGGCACCCGCAGCCCCCCTTCCCCCCACAAACCACAAACAAAAACAACCCAGCTCCCAGCTGACCTGCACGCTCTCCTAGGAGATGGGGGAACTCATGACCCAGAGCCAGGCACACACACATGCACACACGTGCAGACCACAGAGACACACACAAACACACGCCGGCAAACCACACACACATACCCTGCCCCTACCAGCCCCCCTAGGAGACCCCAGCCTATCCCAAACTCCAGATGCTGTCCACACGATGCTGAATGCAATCACACACCCAAGCCCAAGGCCCACCCCCGCCAAAACCGAATGCCCACTTTGTATTTCTGCCTGGCCGTCCCTTAGAAACATAACATTCCACAGGCCCCAAATCGAACCCCCCGTCTGTTCCCCACCCCCCGTGCCATCTGTTCCTCTTCCTGTGTCCCCTATCTTAGTAACGGCACTGCCACCCACCCAGTTACTCAAGCCAGAAACCTGCAGCCATCCTCAACTCCTTCCTCCCTCTCCCTCCAGCCACATCCAGGCACCCAGCCCTGCAAGTACACACTAGCCCACTTAATGCACACAAGGCCAGGCAGAGATACAGTGGGGACTGGGGAGGCCATCGGCACAGTGTTAAGAACCTTGGCCCCAAAACCAGATTGCCTGCATTGGAACACTGGCTTGGCCATTACTCGGCTGCGTGACCCTGGTCAAGGTCCTCAAGCTCTCGGTGTCTCCAATTCTTTGTCTTAAAACCTTACAGGGTTGGGATGTTTACAGGAATCAATACATGTCAAGTTCTTAGGACAGTGATACGTGCTGAGTGAACATGTCATTCTACACTGTGAGAAAAAGGAGCTCCTGGATACAACAACATGTGAATCTCAGGGATGTCGTGTGGAATGAAAGAAGCCAGACACAAGAATACATGTGAATGAAGTTCAAGGAAAAGAAACCCCAATCAGTGATGATACAAGTCAGAACGGGAGGGAAGGGTGTTTGATATGCACCGGGGACAATCATGGGGGGAACTTCTGGGCAGGTGGGTTTCTCAAAATGTCCTGTGTTGATCTGGCTGGTGGTGGTTCCATGGATGTCTAAAACTAAAAATTCACCTAGCTGTACACACAAGATTCATATGCTTTATGCATTTCATGTATGGCTCCTTCAACTTTATTACCTTATGTCTCTGTCCCCCCTGCTACGGTCCATGTTCCCTGCCTCTGCTCCTGCCGTCCCCCTGCAGCCACAGTGATCTTCCTGAAGATCTCTGTCTGTCAGCCCCATGCTTAGGAAAGCTGGCCCTTAGGATCAAGCCTAGAATTCCACGAGGCTGAAGCAGGCCTGGCTGCTGCCTCCCCCCACCCCCCCTTCACTATATTCCAGCTGAACTTGCAGTTCCCCTAATTGCCATGACCTGCCCGCCTCCTGGCCTTTGCACAAGCTGGAACCCAGCCTACTCTCCCTTAATAGTCATTTCCAAGAGGGCCTCCCTGAAACCCCCACTCCTCACTCCTGACTACATGCCTCTCTGGGCTCCCACGGGCCCTGGGATTCCCCTACCCCCCGCCCTTCTCTCGAAGTCTTGCTTCGGCCTCACTGCCGCTCCCTCAACACCAGGCTGAGGGCCTCTCTGCCTGGTCATCCTTGTACTCATGCCTAGAACAGAGTCTGGCACAGAGAAGGCACCTAAAGACCAGCAGAGGTGGACCTCTGGGGGGTGACTGCTCAGGGCCATCTACTGATCCTGTCACAGTTAGTTTCGGGGGGGGGGCACATTTCCACCCCCCAGCCTGCCTGCCTTCAAGCCACAGGAGGGGTGGCTCTGAGGTAGGAAGTTCAGGCTGCAGTCAGGTGCCAACATAGGCATCTCAGGAGGCTCCCTGTTCCCCAGAAGTAAACAAATAGATATCAAGCAAGCGGATTTAAGCCAGACACCCTGGCTCTGCCTCAGGCATGTCTACAGAATGGGAATTTAAAGTGTAGGCATTATAAGCTTCAAGGCTGCTGACAGGAAAACAGGGACACAGAGAAGCTACAGCCATGCTGCAGGTTCTAGTGATGAACCCCTAGCAGGATCTGCAGACCTAGAGTGTGATGAGAACGGATCTCTCCCCTGACACTCCTCCTGGGTGGAGGGAGAAGGAGCAGTCCTTGGGTCTTGTGTTTTCCTGTCCCACCTGGGAATCCAGAGGCCGAGAGAGGCAGAGGCAGGAGATGAGAAAAAGACCCAGCCAGAGACAAGGACAGGCCAAGTCAGAAAAGGAATGAAAGATAGTGAAAGAGTCCAAGAAAAGTGTCAGACAGTGAGTCAGAGGCGGGGGGAGGGGCCCTCAGCAGCTACCCAGGAATCAAGATCCCAACCATGGCTCTGTTCCCAGGGTGAACATGGCCCCCTCCTAGGGTCCTGGAGGAAGGAAAAGCAATTCCCAGGAGCTGGCTCAGACAGAAATGCCACACCCCCGAGGAGCCCCAGAGACAGGCCCTGAATCAAAGACAGCCAGGCTTCTTCCGGGATCTGCCTGGGCCCTGATAATCAGGCCACCCTCCTGTCACCACACACAGGAGTTGGACAGCTCAGGATGAAGGGGTGAGACTTCCCCACTCTACTACTCACAACTATCTACACACTCAGGCCACAGTGTGAATCCCAGGAAGGCCACCTCACCCCAGGCACTAGGCAAACAAAGGCTCTTTGGGGGCCAGGGGGATATCTCAGGGCCTCTGGGAAGTCACATCAACTCCTCTGTGCAGCTCACCAATCCCAATGCCCCAGCTCCCCACCAGAGCTGATATTGGGGAGAGGGGGCACCTTCAGCTGCCTCCATCCACCTCCAGGAATCTGAAGAATGCATCCTTTAACCTCAGATCCCCAGGCCTTGGTCAGGCCAGCTCCCCCCAACACATGACCCCAGACCCTCAGGAGCTATTTCCTGGGACAAGGAAAAGACACCTCTGAGTACCTCTGGCCCCCAATGGGATTGGCTAGAAAAACAACCTGGGCAGCACAGAGAGGGGAGACAGGAAGCCTTAGCACACCCCATCCCCCCATCCCTCTGAAAGTGCTCCCTGGGGAGGGCACAGTTCCTCAGCCTTGGCCTCCAGGGCCTGGCACTGGGTAGGTGCCAAATGTTTGCTGGCTACAGGAGGCCAACTGCTCCTGCCGAAGGGAAATTGCACCTGACAGCAACTGCTTCCTCCACCTAAGCAAGGCCTCCTTCATTCTCATTCATTCACTCAACAAATATTGAGCTCCTATGGCATGCCAAGTACTGTGTCAGGCACTTGGGCAGACAGGGAGCAAGACCCACACTGGGGTTGCACTCTTGCAGCTTTTGAATTTAGGGGCAAGGAGTATGTAGTTACAAAACCATCGTGAGTGCTGGGGTGGCAGGCCGGAGGGGTGCGACAGGAGGGGGAAAGCTGAGGGTAAAAACAATCTCTAGGAGGAAGGGAGGTGGAAAGTTCCAGAGGGGGCACAGCATGAAAGAGAGCCAGAATGATGAGGGGGAGGGGCGTCCTGGGACAGGTTTCGAGAGCCAGGGCTGACAGGCAGGCTTTAGCCTGAGGGCACTGGAAGCCACAGGAGGGTTTAAGTAGGGAGTGACAATACCAGATTTGCATTTTAAAAAGATGGCTCAGTCCCCGACCGGAGAGGGGGTGTGACTAGTTGGCCCCGTGCCAGGGCTAGCTAGGTGAGCCATGACAGGACAGGGAGGGCAAAGGAGAAAGGCGAATAGACTCGGGGACCTCCGGATGTGGAGCTGGAAGAGGGCAGTGATGTCAAGGATTTGGAGGCGGGCGGAGGAGGCCCGCTCCGGGGGGCTGTGAGACATCTGAGTGGAGGTGTGGGGTGGGCAGTGGAGCCGGGGAGGGCTCCTCCAGTGTCAGGAGTGTAGGCTATGTGTGTGACTGTGCCAGAGAGCCGGAGTGACTAAGTGTGTGACGGCTGCTGTGGTGGGGACATCCAAGGGTGCATGCCTGTGGAAGGGCCCCCGGGGAGGGGAAACTGAGGACCGGGAGGAAGTACGTGCTGGAGAGGGGAGAAGTGCGTGGGAGAGAGGCTACGTGTGCCCGCGGGTGTCCGGTGGGGCTGCGCCCGTGACTCACAGCGGTGGCCTCTGCGTGTGACGGTGACTGACAAACAGGTGAGCGTACGACACAATCCCTCCTCCTCCCCCCCCCCGTCGGGGACCGTGACTCACGGAGCCTCACTCCTCCTCACTCTTCTCTCCACTCCCTCACTGACCCCTGCCGGCGGGGGGCGCCAGG